TTTTGCAGAAGCCTTTAAAAACACGCGTAAATTCAAAATATCAATCGAAAGGATCAACCTACATCTTAAATTTATTAGCTTTTGTAGAAATTAGACTTTTTAATGTATTTTTCTGCCAAAGAAAAGCGAGATTCGGGAAACCGTGCGGGATGCGGGATTATCGCGAAAAAGGGGCGGGAATGCGGGATCAGGACCCCCCCCTTCCAGACCCTCTTTCAATGTGTGGTGACCACCTCATTTTGTTATCGAGCACTACCCCCAGATAAGGGTGAGATTCCACTTCTTCTAGGATTTGTCCACAAAATACGTATTCCCGCTTTGGTGGATCTCTCCTGGTTGTTCTATCTGTTTTTAGTCATATAATAAGTCAGACCCTCTTCCTCAGCCCTTGGTATTGAGGGTCCACAATAGGTTTGGCGGGATGCGGGATTTGGCTATTTTTCGGGGTGATATTCGGGATATGAGCTGAAAACAGGAGCGGGATGCGGGAATTTTAACATCCAGCGGGAGCGGGATTTCCTATTTTTATGGGGATGGGATTTGGGAATCGTAAGGAAAAAATAGCGGGATACGGGAATTTAGTTTTGTCTTGACTAAAAATTCATTAGCGTTGACTGAAAAAAAATGGTTCTTAAGTGTATATACCACCTTTGTAGTCAAGCTATGAGTGTCAAAGGAAGTAAAGCCCGTCAAATTTTGCCCATTATCACTTTTTTGTGTTGTTCGTCTTTTCCGGTTTTACTATTTTCGTCGTTTTCGTCACTCGGAAAGAGGTATCAAATCACTGAGGTTAGAAGTCACGTTCATTAAGATCCTGCACTCATTCCTGTTTTGTTGACGGATTTGACCTTTTCTGCTTTTGCCTGGACGGACCTGTCGGACCTGGACGATCCTTTGGACTGAGCGTTTGCTACATGTATTAAAGCAAGTCTGGCCACAGTATGGCAACACCAGAGCTGATAGAAGTGGACAATGTGGTAGACATCATAAATTGTGTGGCCTACACGACTCCCCAGCGCATGTTTAAAATAGCCTTTTTACAGTTTGGCTCTCACGAGTATGTCTTTGAGCGGCCGCCCTCTTTTATAAGATACGAGGGGCGGTTTTTTGTAGATTTCGCTCAGTAATGGTTTTTGTTCTATTAAATGCCAGTTTTTCATGAGAATTTGCTTTAGGTTAGGCACTGATGGTTGGTATTGTGCCCGGGGGGGGCACTTGGATAATTTTTGGGTGGGTATGTGCCGCCCGGGACTCTAAATTGTGAGCCAATTTTTTATACCCCGTTCTAGAATTCGCCCTAAAACTGATACCCCGTTCTAGAAATGGGCCAGTTGCTTATACTCCGTTCTAGAAAGTTTGTAAATTGAAAAAGCCCTGTTTTTTAACAGATATTTCTTTCCTTGTTCGACTTATACATCAAATAAATGCTTCTTCATAATCAGCAACAATTTTAAGCAGAAGATAAAGCCGTGATCCACAATTTTTTATACCCCGTTCTAGAAAACGCCCCTGAAATGGATACCCCGTTCTAAATCAGGAGCTTCAAAATCACGACCCCGTTGGGCGGCACATACCCGTATAGGTAATGTATGGGAGTGCCCCCCCCCCGGGGTATTGTGTGACAAAAGGCATTAGATTCGTTGGTTTGTCTTTGGTTTCGAAGGGCTAGTTTCCTGTCTTTAAAATTCACCTCTGAGAGGTTTGTGTTAATAAGATCCTCTGGGTAACCCCTCTGTAGCAGATGCGCTTTGAAATTTGTAATTTTCTCTTCGAAAATTATTTTGGAAGAGTTTGTTCTGAGGAGTCGGAGGGCTTCCCCTTTAATGAAGCCTTTTTTAACTCCTTGCGGGTGACAGGAACCAAAATGGGTATACTGAAATGTCTCAGTTGGTTTGAAATGAGTACGCGCATCCAGGATTGCGTCTCTTTCGAATCTTTCGCCTTTGTAGATGTAGGTGTCCAGGAATGTTGTTTCCTTATCGGAAATTTCGGCCGTAAATTTGATCGTAGGTTGATGATTGTTTGCTTGTTCAATGAAATGTTCTATTCTGTCTCTGTCAGGGGCACCCAACGGCAATTTTCGGGAAAATATCTGTTCGGAAGACGATTTGAGATCTAGAATTTTCGGAGCATTTGTTGTAAAATTTCTTGCTTGCCTGCCTCTCCTAGGATTTTCGAACATCTACAAAATGGTATAATTACTCATTTTTAACGGATTTCCACCCTAAAAAAGGCCACCTAGAATTTTCGGGAGCCTTTTCCTGGCTGAAATTTTCGAGAAGGTAAGTTTTTATCCCTATAATTTTCGGATTACTAGATTTTCAGCTAGGAAATCCAAACAGATGAAATGTTTTTAGGGGATAAAAATATGCCTATATCCACCGTTTAAATACTAAAATACGTTCAACAATGCTATGTTAAGTGGTTTTGAACTATCGTTGGGTGCCCCTGTCTCTGTTCGTAGTCCAGAGCGAGAAGATGTCGTCTATGTAACGTTTCCAAACGAGCGGTCTAAAAAGGCTTTGTCCTAAACTGCATGTAAACAATTGACAGAATTGGCTTCATCGCCTGATGGAAACTAGCAGCAAAGCAGTCGAATCTTCGTAAGACAGACAGATAACATCAATCTACCTAATTCCAAAAATACTGGACTTTAAGTATCGAGGTAAACATGCACCGATGCGAGGACGAAAAAATAATTAAGCAAAACAGAAAATAAAGTTATGGTCGCTAATTGTGATGTTGAGAACCTGGACCATCAAAACTGACAATTGTTAGAAGGTAAGTCATAACGCATAATGGGGCGGGATCGGGATCAGGGCGTAAAAGGGGGCGGGATGGCGGGATTGAGAAGAAAAAAAAGCGGGAAAGCGGGATTTGAGAACCCCTATTGAGGACCCTCGGTATTGTCCGGCCAACTCTTCTCAGCTTGTCGTAGTTACAGCGCCTTTACTCGATATAAGCACCTGACTTATAGACAGGCTTATAAAAAACATATATTTTATAATATTCGATCGAGCCCGGGCATCTATAGGTATATATATATATAGCTGCAATATGTTATATAAACTATAGATTAAAATCAAAGTTATTCAAACGGCAACGTCAATATTTTTTTGAGTATAACACCTTGCTTTTCGTAACACTCATCTTTGACATCGTGTCGGAGCACATAGTTACATAACATTGAACTACTTTTGATGTAAAATTCGGGAATTTCTGGCAATCGAGGTTCCTTCCAGGCACTGTATGAAGCAAAAATAGTATTCTTCCTAATTCGTTTCTCTGTATTCGCATTGTAAGTCGCTGTCCGCCGCTAGAATTTCACGGCATTCCGAGTGATCCGCAGAATAATTTTGCAGCGGGAATAATAATATGTCAATGCCGGATCTTCGAAAAATTTATCAGTTCTAGGCCATTTTCGGAATCCCTTGAATCTGCTTTGCACCTACTAAAGCAGGAATTCTTGGAATCTACCATTAAGCAAGCCTATCAAAAGTCTAGGCCACAATTACTGCCGTTTTCGCCCGGGGGGCTACTCTGGATATTTTTGGGTAGGGGTGTGCCGCTGTGACTTTGATACCCTTACCCTATACTAGACCATGTTCAGCTCCATTTTACGACCCTGTTCTAGACTAGATGCCAAAAATTCCTACCCTAATTCAGACGTTTCTTTATCTTATTGAACGGTTCCAGGTAAATGATACCCTATTCTAGGCCAAAATTCTCTGATTTCCATACCCTATCCTAGACTAAACTGCTCAAAAACCTTACCCTTCACAGCGGCACATACCTATATAGCTTATATATGGGAGTACCCCCCTTGGCGTTTTCGCCTTTTTCTTGTCCAGTATACGTTGCGTTCATACAAAACCCTTGTCCTGACTGAAAGTGTTGTCTGAGTCATACGGGGGTGGGGGGGGACAGGGGGGTGACAACCTCCCACTTCCCGTACCCCGTTCTCCCGCCTCCCGTACCTTTTTGTTCCTTTGTCTCCCGACTCCCGCCCTTTATTGTATTTTTCCCGTCATCATGTAAATTAAAAAGATCAGAAGCCCGGGTTTAGTGTTAAAGCTGTAGGGTAATTTGCCAAAGATGAAAATTGTTACAAGTCAGTTTTCTTAGTTAAACCGAGTTTTCACTAACCTGGTTATCTAGGTTTGACCACTGCTTCTGACATCCCACTACAGCGACAATAGTCTCAGTCCACTGTGCAGTGTAATAGCTATTGCAGTTATCAAAGATGCATTAACATGCATTTAGGAATCCCGAAATTACGGGGATCATGCCAAAATGAAGTCGAAGGGCCAAACGTTACGGTAGAGTTCAGTACTCCTGTCTAGTTCCCAGCGTCTAATTGTACTAATTGCATATCCACCGCGGTTAGTTTTCGTTATTTTTCGTAAGTAGTCGTAAGCTATAAAAACTGACTTCAACGAGAGACAATAATTGCATGTTCGTTAACCGTTTTCATTTTAAAGCCTTCAGTTTAGTGCTGGTGGAGTATTATTGTTTGCTGGTTATCAAATCGCAAACCTATTCATATTTGCTCGAGAAGTTGTATCTTTCATCAAACATCGGCGGGGAGGTTTAACGGTTATACATACATTTTTACATCGGCATGATGCATCTATGTCCGATTTTAACAAGAAGCATTTGAAGAAACGAATGCTCTGCTCTTATTGGCGTATTACAAGTTAAATAACAGGACAGGGAACAGGTTGCAATATGTGTAAAAAGTGCCCGTATTTTGCTACAGTAAACAAACTAGAAAAAGTCTTCCATGCGACGAGGAGGTCGCACTGATCTCCTCCTACTCCAAATGTTAGTTAGAGCAGTAAAGTCTGCCTCCTCTTCCTCCGAGTCGAGGGAACTTTCTAGATTTTCTTCATTTTCATTGGCTTCCAGATCACATTCTCCTCGACAGTCAGACAGAATCTTACAGAATGTTTCTTCAGTTACTTCCAAACGGCTATCAAATAATCGCATTGCATCTTTGCTTATCGATTGCTTATTTCGCAAATAATGTTACTCTTCTTGCATAGTGCTTCTTCGCTAGACGTTTGAAAGATAAAAGAACTTTCATCGATGATAACATAATTAGTACCAACGATATCATTTGCGTCTATCTTGCTTGAAATAAAAACTGAAAAAAAGTTGGATTTGCTACTGATTGCATAAATTCCAGTATGTGGTGCCTGATGAGTGTTGAGATCGCTTTGATTTCCATTTCCAGGCTCGGTCACGGGCTCTTCGTCGCAGCTACTGCTATTCCCTGGAGGATTCGTTGGTGTATCTGCTTCCTTTACAGAACTGACAGCCTTAAATAGCTCTTGCATTGATGTTAGAGCTTGTTCTTCAACATTTTTGTATGACTCTTCCGACATGTACATGTAAAAGGGGAGAGTACCGGTTTTGTCTTTCGTGAAAGAATTTCGGACCGACTGTTGCCTAACCCCTCGTCCCAAATCATTTCTCCAATCGTTAAGACGTTTGATGTCCTCCTTATTCAGGAACATAGTTGGTTCTTGTGGCACTGGGAGCAAATCTTCATACTTTATTGAAAAGTATGATGGTAACTCGTAGTGCTGTTTCTCCCGAGTAAAGCAAATATATCCAGGCCAGGCAATTCTCTTTAAGGTCTCATCCACAGCCTCCACGAACTTCATCGCACAATTTAGCACGGTGGGTGTGTCTGTTACTTGTCGCAATTCGACAAGTGTGAGGAATGTTCTTACATCGGCAACTTCGAGTAGATGGGCACATTCTTCACTAAATCGGGTCCGAAGGCGATGAAGGAAGTTCTTGATGAAAATTACTGAAGCTACTGTCTTCTCGGCTGGGGTTCCTTGCGGCTCTTGCATGACTCCTGAAACTTTGAACTTGGCCTTGGCATTTTGAAGCATTTGCGTTAACGTTTTCTCGGCTTTCTCAACGCGTTGTTCTATAGTGATGGCAGCTCCGCATGACCAAGAATGGATATAGAACGCACGGTAGATGTCTTCCATTATTCTCATGTATTTTATTACAGCCCATATCTTGGTGATAAGCCTGACACTTTTGCCGTCTGTGCTCTGTACACGCCATCACTGGCTTTACAAAGAAAAACACTTGGAGATACACATCCCGTACCATCCCTTGTGTGTGTTCTTCTTTTCTTTTTTGCATTTATTATCTTCACTGTGTTTCAAAATATTGTCATGCTGTTTTCAAGACAGGCCATTGAATTTATGGGGTTTTACTGCTTCGCATGATGTGTCCAGGTTGTGCAATGTTGTCGATGTTAATCATTGACTGAATTGTTTGAAAGTGCTTCACGAGCAGCAACCACGCTACCGATATTCCTTTCGCAAAATGGTATTTCTTCAAAAGTTGACAAATTTGGTGATACTTTGCTTGAGAGAATCAAAATGCATGTACTACTATTGTCACTATTGGCGACTAATCGTACACAACGATGTCTTGTTAACGGTTCTCTTTCTAGAATCTGCTCTCTTAAATGTGGGGTACCGCAAGGAACAATCCTTGGCCCCCTTTTATTTCTTATTTATATTAATGACTTGCCAAACTGCCTTACTTCGTGCCAGCCTAGAATGTATGCCGATGACACCCACATTACTTATGCTGGCGTTGATGTGAATTCAATACAGTTAACTCTGAGTCACGATTTAGATAACCTAAACAAATGGCTTATTTCCAATAAACTTACTTTGAACACTTCTAAAACTGAATTCATGCTAATTGGCTCCAGACAAAAATTGAGTACTTTGTCGAACCCACTCGAGCTCTCGATTAATAATGTTCCGATAGAACACGTTTCCTCTGTCAAATCGCTTGGAATATTTATTGATGAAAATCTACGGTGGCAAACACACATTGATAAATTATCTAAAAAGGTCGCTTCCGGAATTGGAGCAAAAAAGAATTAGACCTTTTGTCCCTCCACCTACCCTTCACTATATATACAACTCACTAATTCAATCTCATTTCGATTATTGCAATCTTGTCTGGGGTAATTGTGGTAAAACATTATTTGACAGGCTACAGAAGCTTCAGAACCGTGCCGCTCGCGTTTTAACCTTCTCTAGCTATGATGCTGATGCTAACCGTTTGATTAGACAACTCGATTGGAAAGACTTGAGCACTCAATTTCAAATACAGAAATCCATAATGGTATACAAGTCTTTAAATGGCCTTGTTCCTGAATATTTATCATCTAAGTTTGTTAAACGAAATGAAACGCGTTACTCCCTGAGGGACTCTGTTAACAAACTATTTGTCCCATTTCCGCGAACTAATTTCATGAAAAACAGCTTTACTTATAGCGGAGCAGTTCTCTGGAACAGCCTACCCTGTCATGTGAGAGAGGCCGAATCTCTTAGTCAATTTAAAAGATTAGTTAATGTTCATTTTTAATGTTATACACGGCATTCATGAAAAACAGGTTTTAGTTAGATTAGTTGTAGTCAGGTTTTGAATTTTGTTTAGGATAGTTAGGTTATTTTTAATTTTTTTAAATTCCTGATGGATTTTACCGTGTTTAAATAAAGATTGACTTGACTTGACTGTGAAAAATGTAAAATTACAGTGCAAAGTACTAGGAAATCACACCTACCGTGCAGTTCGTAATCTTTTGTTATTACTTTTTCTTTGTTATCTATGAAGTCCAACCGAACAGCGTCCCACGCTGTTTAACTTCCTATTCTAATAGGGAGTGCTTTGGCCTTATCCAAAACAAAAAATTGCGTTGTATATCTAACCACTCCGCACTCTCCAGCGCGATCATTGAATTTGCATTCCCTGGACACAAGTTTGCACCACGCCGTAAAGTACGGAGCGAGCTGCCAGGAAGGTCTTCCATGTACGGATTTTTCCACACCACACCGAAAATTACTTAGACCGATTAAAATGGTCTTTGACGACATTTTACCTGCGAGACAGTTTGAGTTTGACTAATAGTCGCGGGTCGCGGGTCGCGGGTCGCGGGTCCAAAGTCGCGGCCGCGGGTCGCGGGTCGCGGGTCCAAAGTGGCGGTCGCGGGTCCAATGTCGCGGCAGGGGAAAATGATTTGGGGTTTTAGGTAACTGAGTGAAAACGACTGACATGAAAAAAATGTAAAGGGAACAAAATCGTTTTTATGCATGATACTCTACGGTAACCAATTTACAGGTTACGGATGTTAGAGTCAACAAAATAATGTCTCAAGAAAAGAGCTAAAAGAAAAAGCTGGCCGACTTTTGTGTTCACCGCAAGTTCATTTTGTTTTCTTTCTATCGGGCCCAGTTATGAGCAAATTCAGCTTTGAATATACTTATGCATAACAGTATCTGATAAAAAAGTTACCATAAGTTACCATTGCTTTCTTCTTGTCTATGAATTGCTCACAAATGCTTAGGGGTTCATTTACTGAAAAATATGCGACACACTTCGTAGACTAAAAATTATAAACGTTACAACAACTTAAAGCCTTTTTTTAAAGAAAGAAAACAAAATAAACTTGCGGTGAACACAAAAGTCGGCCAGCTTTTTCTTTTAGGTGTTTTCTTGAGACATTAGTTTGTTGACTCAAACATCCGTAACCTGTAAATTGGCTACCGTAGAGTATCGTGTATAAAAAAAGATTTTTTCCCTTTATATTGTGTTCATATCAGTCGTTTTCACTCATCTGTTACCTCGAACCCCAAATCATTTTCCCCTGCCGCGACATTGGACCCGCGACCGCGACATTGGACCCGCGACCGCGACTTTGGACCCGCGACCCGCGACCCGCGACCCGCGACTATTAGTCAAACTCCACTGACACGACTTACACAGTCGACACACGTGTACATGTGTCACACCACCTCATTCATGAGGACTCGTGACCTATGATGTAACCGACTTGGAAAGGTTTCCAATTTCACCGGAAGTAATGCTCTTTTTTCTATCCCTAGTGCGAATTTACGTTTTTTGACTTTTCTCGCATTGAAATTTTGATTTAGGGCCTCGGAGAACGTTAAATGGAAGTCAAGAAACGTTGTTGGGTTCGTTTCTTTGGCTGGATGATGAGCAGAAACAATTAACGAAAGCTTGCCTTTTGGAATTTCTCTCCCGCCTCCCGCCATCATAGAGATCCCGCTTCCCGCCCTTTCTTCTCCCGTCTCCCGTACCCCTCCCGCCCCCTGTTCTCCCGGGATCCCGCCCCCCTGTCCCCCTCCAGACGGGGGGTCTCATGCGGCAAGATCGATTTTTAGAATTTGTGCGCGACGCTAAAATGCGGACATAGTTTTTTAGTTACATTATGTGGGGACACTCTAGTCAAATTTGAGCTAAAACGGTTGACAACTCGCTGCACTCACTTTCTAATTCGGGAAAAAAGAGCAAAACAGTTTCAGACGTTCTTCCGGTTTTTAAGAGATAAAAAGACCAAGGCGTGAAAGTAATTACCTGCGTTTAAACAAAAGGCTCAACTTACTTTAAATGTTGACCAGGCAAGATGTCATACGGTATACTGTTTGTTAGCGGGAATTCAGCGCCACATAATTTCAGTTCTACTTCTTGCAGCTCGCTCGAAGTTGACTTGATATTAATTCTTAATTCTCAACTTTCCATTCCTCAGACTTAAAAATTGTATTGAAAACATGCAGTTACGCGACATAATCCCCACTGGTCACTGTTCACTCCCAGCAAACTGAGTGGAAAAAGCACTGAAAAGCATAAACATATTTCATCTAAAGTGTGACGTTTATAATTAACATGTCACTGAACGTCTAGCGAACTCACAGTCGAGCATTTAGTTTTTCGCTACAACATGATATGAAGTCTTTTCACTACAGAATTTCGACTCGAGAAATCTTCAGGAAATATAATGGTGTTCTGTGGTTTTAACAAACAAATTGGTCGTAAACTTTCACTTCACGTTTCGTGATTACTACCCTGGGTTCCCAGAGGATATTTTTTTCTTATCGATACTGATGGTTCGCGGCGAAGCGTTACTGATGGTTCGCGTTAACGAGGCGCA